TAGCGGTAACGTTTGCGACAACTTCTTGTTTCTTTTCCCTACTTTGCTGATTGGACGTCGAGGCCTTGTGGAAGAAATTCGACAAGGACTGTATTAAACTTTTTCGTCGTTCTGGGTCTTTAACACGAGCTCCCAATTTATTTTTAATCGGTTTAGGTGAGGAGGATAACAGCAAATTAGGATCTGACGTAAAATCCGCAGATTTCTCTTCGATTGGAGTTTTTCTTGCTTGCCGGTTATGTCCATAAGAGGCTAAATCATTAACACTTTTAGAAGTATTAATTTTTTCGGATTTTGCAACTTCTTTGTTAGTTTTTGGGTAATCGGCTTGCAAACGTTTGCGCAGCAACAACATCTTTTCCTCAGGACTTAGTCCAAGCTCAGTATTTGATTTGAGGCGAGCCCTTGCTCTAGCTTCATTGCGTAGATTTTCCGTTGAAATAGAGAAGTTTGGATCAGTTAAATTAGCTGAATGCGTTGTAGCTGGGCTAACTGCTTCACGTCCCCGGTTTTGTCTTATAGGTGGTGAAGGTGTAGTTTTTGAATCAGCAGGTATTTGACTACATTTATTAACATCATCGGTAAGGGGGCGTCTAGGCTGGGAAAATGTTGGTGTTTTTGCTAGTTTGCAGCGCGTTGACAATTGACCACTGTCAAATGTTTCACTAAGCGGGCGTGGTTTGTATACATTAGAACGTATCGGCGAAAGAGCATCTACCTTACCATAAGGCGATGTATATGATGGCGATTTATTTTCCTTGAAACTGATACTATTGAAAAGACGTACTGGAGGATGCGCATCGATCGGCGGAACTTCAGCAACGGCTGTGGATACGTGATAATGTGCTTGGTTTGTGCAATTGCTATCCGCCGTGTTCGATGCTGCTGCCAATTTAGGTGTCGGACTTAGACTGGAACCGCTTGCATAACCGCTTGCATAACCTCGGTTACCGGGGCTGATGGGCATAGATCGTTGACGGCTACGGTTCAGACGTTTTTCAGCATTCAGTTGCTTCTTCGACTGCAATTTATCCATCACTAAATCATGAATTAGATCCTTCTGCTTGGTGCGTTCTTTGGTAATTTCCTCCAGCTTACGGGTTAGCGTTGGAATTTCAGGTACTTTATTGACTTGTGAAGTTTTTGTGGCGTTAGTAGTTTCTATTGCGTCTACCGCCGATATCCGTGTCGAGTTTTCGACAACGTCGTTATTGCTTAACTTTAGATTACATGGTGTGGTTGTGGTTGTGGCTAAATCTATCACAGTTTGAGTATTTATGTTACTTGCACTTACTGTTGAGACAGTAGGCGATGAGTTATTTACAGCAATGTTTGTAGCTGGCACTTCACCTTTTGAGCTTTTTCTTCGTTGTTTGCGTGCATCAAGCGAATCAGCTCGTGCGGTGCTAATTTGGGCAATTTTTTGCTGCAAGGCACGTACATATTCTTCATAAGAGATTTCTTCTGTGGATCTCCGAGCAGGAGTGCCATCTGCACGAGGGGGTGTTACTTTACTACAAGAAATGCTTGATGGAGAGCCCGTAGAAAGAGAAGTTTTTGGCAGTCTCTCGGAACTACTTGGCGTTGATGCATCCGCTGTTTCAGAGCCTTGCCCAGCTTGTGTTTTGGGAGATGGCGAATCAAAAGGACTAGTTACCACGGTAAGCGCTTCACTTTCCTGCTGACTAGTTGATTTTTGGCTAATGGCAGTAATCGAAGACTCAGTTCCTGTGCCAGTGGTAACAGAGGACAATTGCACGGTCAGAGCACAGGTACTGTCTTCGTCCATATCATTTACAGTACTTGAATCGGTAAGTGATTGTGTCATTAAAGAAGTCGTTTTTAGCACCTTGGAGGATTCGTGAGGTATTTCATTTACCGGTGTTTTGTTAATATCGTCTTGCATTATATAAGCTCCCTGTTCTATATAATCGATGCCCAATTTTTCATCTCTTTTTGCTATTAACGGTTGAAATGTATCGAATTTATTTTCCCTTAGCACCGGAGGTGGTATTGTACGATCGACAAATTCTACATAACCTCGATTAAGTAGCATTGTAGCGTTTGTAGCTGAGTATGGCGATTCTCCACAAGAACCATCCGATCCAGTATCCATAAATTCTATGTCATCGAGGTCTATAGATTTGAGAATACCTTCGAACTCGGCCACTGGCGCTACCTTTGCTACTTCTTGCATTACCTCACTGGTGCTGGGTAATTTGGCTGAATCGTGTTTCTTTTTGTTGATCTTATTGTCTTTGTTACGCTTGATTGTGCCTTTATTAGAATTTAAAACAAATTCTATATCAACAAAGTTTTCTGAAATGCAATCATCAGCCGTCCAATCAGATAATTCAGTTTCCGTTAATATTTGGCCTGTACCAGTGGGTTCAGTTTCCGAATCTGAACCCCGCGACTGAATATCGGCAGTAGGTGTTTTGTCCATGTCGATAGCTAACGGCGTCGTGGGAGTTTCGACTGTTTTACTTTGTGCTGTACTTAAATTTAAAGAAACTGGTTTTACTGCTTTGGCATGTTCAAGCACAATTTGGTCCACAATTAAAGGCAAATTTTTCAAACTTTCCACTTTATTTTCATTTTTCGTGTCAAATTTCAAATCATACCGTTTCTGTTTCAACGGTATTCCCTTGTCTATGGCTTCTGAAGATCCTTGTGCTGGCAACGCTTGTAAATCATTACTTAGTTCCTTACGAATGTCAATAATCGTGCATTCTATCGGTTCCGGGGTAGCAGTAACGGGTTCAGTGTCAAGTTCCGTCTGGTCTTCCAAAACCGAGGTCTTGACCTCGGGTGGTTGAGGCGGTATAATAAGGCCATCCGGTATTTCCATATATTTTAAGTCGTCGGGATCACCAATATATTTCCCGTCAATAATCATGAGACTGTCAATTTGCATTAGGGTTCCGGAACTGTCATGAACTTCAAGACGAGGCACTTGATGGTTATTCGGAACCGCAGCACTATTAAGTGTGTCCGGACTAGTTGTAGATTCTAGGATATAATGTTCAATATCTTCCACGCTAGAAGAGTGTGAAGAGCAACTTGAGCCAGTTGTCGATGAAATGTGGCCCGCTTTCAATTTACTCCATGGAATAGTCGGTACTTCGATCTGGACATCGCAGACATCATTTCCATTTGGACTGCTTTCCACTTTCTCGGGATAATCGGCTTTCTCATCATTACTCCCACAATTTTTCAGTAAACCGACGTTTTCCTCACTGTGTGAGACACTAACTTCTTGAGTTTCTATATGATCCAAGATATCGGGTATACAATGCTTAGCATCCTTTGAAATATCTGGTTCCGCAATAACAGTGCGATTATCTTTTACCAGTGAATCTTTAGTTAATTCTACAGTTTTATTACTATCTACGACAGATGTTAGGAAATTCATTAAGTTCTTATCCGGAGAACCAGCCGCATTTGAAAGTTTCTCGGGTGTTTCAGAAGTAAGATCAATTATTTTAGTATTATCATTATCCTGAATGAACTTGTTTTCCTTTTCCGGTGTAACTAAATCTATTGTCTCAATAATTTTATTCGTTGGTGTCGTCGGAGTCTTGTTCTTACCCATAGACTCCATTAGAGCAGTGTTAACAGTCTCTGAATATTCCATACCTTTATTAAGTTCATTTTTACTGGTAACAAAAACATTTTCTTTCTCATTATCTGTGGAGGCAGCAGACGAAGCCTTTTGTATCGTAATTTCTACTCTAAGATCGTTTAATATATTGTTAGGAGCGGACGGCAGCATCTCCTGATTGGGTTTCTCACCTAACTTTGTGCGATCTAAGAAGGTTTTCATGGCTGGACTAATATCGCTGCCAGGATTAAGAAGCTTTTGACATTCGGATATATTTGATTGAAAACTCCTTATACGCGAATCTAATACTGAGGTAGAGCCGGATTTTTGTATTTTATTACCATTGGAAGGCTCACCCAATAAGTAACGTTTCTTCAATTCCAAGCTCTTTTTTGAAGCAATACCTTCTGTACTAGCGGTTTTATTTAGTAAATAGTCACCGGGTCGTGGATTTTGCAGAGGAGTACGCTTTGTGCTGGCTATTAATAGGGAAGGATCTACTTGGACTAGCGGTTTAAATTGTGGCAACGGTGGTGACTGATATTTAGCCAAATAACTACCACCCTTACTTTGTGCATTGTCCGGATGGGAATTAATTTTGTGACTTGCTGCTGTAGGCGGAAGAATACTGGATTTAATCTATAGTTGGAAGGTTGGAAAGTAAATCTTTTATTTACATTCGTTTGAATTTATTCAATCCAATCAACGCACCTGAACTTTAGTTGGTTTCCGTAGATGCGTATCGTCAATAAATATCTTTGGAGTCTCACGTATAATTTCATCATGATCAAATTCCGAGTCGGTAGATATTTCTGTGGCCGAATTGAGTTCCACTTCGTCGGGAGAAGTACTTTCCGTTTCAGTTTGAACCTACAAAAAAAAAAAAAAAACAAATAATTATTTAAGGTGCTCAAGGAATTGTACTTGAAATGTTGCTAAGACCACTTTTTTTTTAAAGCAAATTGAGTGTCATGCATAATGGGCAAAATGTCGTTTGAAGGTTATTTGCTTTTGTTAAAGTTTAAAGTAATGTTGTTGTTAGAAATCAGTACATAAAAATCTTTGTGGTACGATCCAAAAAGGTACGCATGTGAACCAAACAGCAATTAAAAGTTGAAAGCAACAAAAAAAAAAAAAAGAAAAGAAAAAACATACGAACGATTATCGACGATAACAACAATAAAATCACAAAATAGATAACAATTGTTAACGTTTTTAAATAAAGAGTACATCAGATAGATATTTTGAAATCTGATATATCTTTTCGAATAGCTTTCAGTTTTATATTGTTATTATTATTTTTCTTGGGTTAATATGATGGCGTAGGCGGCAACACAAACAATTTCAATTTCATTAACAACGCACTTCAGTTTACCTTTCGAGATCGTACCCGGGGACTGTTAAATTTCTCCTGTTTTCTCTTCCTCTGTCTCTTTCTTCCTTTTCCTGCCGATTCGTTATTCTTTATTGGTCTCTTAGAAAGAGAATTCTACGTAGGACATCAAAAATAATGAAAACCTAGACTAGCGGTAGTGGTGATAAGAAGGATGTGTGCGCTTATATTGTGTAACTGTGTAGGCAGATAGGCGGATTGTTTGTTTGTTTGATTTTGTAAGTTGAAGAGCATAAAAGTGTAAAAGTTGGTAAATTGGTTTCATTTTTATTTGAATAATCTCTTGATTAATTGTTAATTTAACTTAGTACACAAGAGTCCTTCAACTCCCGATAACGGGAAGGACTTTGCCTGGAATAATTTTTGGTTGCAGCAGTGGTAGCGCGATAAGAAGGCCGTCCCATTAACGTAGAACTGGGATAATGATAATTACTGCTTGAATTGGTGGTAATAAGCGATGTTTGCAATGGAGGCAGACTTCTGCCATTAAATGAACTATTATTGTAAGTGATTGACGTTGGTACGTAGCCATACTTCTGTGCACTATGCTTAGTTCCTAAAGTACGTGAGGTAGGAAATCGAGTCATATTCGAAGTAGAAGTGTAGCGCTTAGGGCGATATGTGCTTACATTGTCGTCGTCATCTGAATCACTAATCGTATCAAATGACTTTTTGTTGTCATTAAGGACATCTCGCATATAAGGGTTACGTTCGACTACACGCTCATTTACAAAATCGCATTTTCGATTATGCAAACGTTTGCTCCGTGCCAGGAGGAGCTGAGTACTGGCATCTAAAGTTGCGTTGTTTAACTTTTGATGTCGGGTCGATCTTTGGGTGCCGTATTTCTGACTTTCAGTGAGAGTAGCACGTGAGCTAAAATCGCTATCGGCGCTAGAGCGGGACTGAAGTGCGACTCCTGTGCCTCGCGTTGCAATACTCAAATCTGAAATGGACTTTGCAACTGTCTTGCTTTCATCTAAACTTTCATCCTGTACGTCACAAACATCGGGTGTTTCTGAGCGGGGTTTCTCTTTGCGACTACCTAGATGTTGGGTTGTCCTTTCATTTTTAAACATTGTCTTACCATCTGGCCATAAACGCTTCGGGCCTGCATTTGCTAAAGCATTGTCGTACTGTATGACATTTGTTTCCTCCAGAGCATTAATATCTGTTCCGTTTTCATCATTTGTTAAGTCGTCGTCTTCTGCATGCGGATTTGGCCAAGGGCGATTCTTCATATTTTCTGGTATGGGGCCTGCTAAGTTATCGGGTATCTCGTGCATATCCAATAAGGGTAAATCCAATTTTTTTGGCATCGGTGCTATTATCGGCTTAGCATCTAACATTTCTATAAATGCAAAAGAGCTACGACGTGAACTTTGCGACGATTGCGAGGAGCCATAAACATCTAAAGGTTTTAGCATTGGTGGCGTTCCTCCTCTATTCGTATTAAGACTCAACTGTGAGTTTGTCCTTGAACCGCGTGGCGATTGTTTAACGGGTGTACTTAATGGGGTTGTTCTCTTAGAATTGTCACCGGAACCAAAAGTGGAATTTTTACTTTCAATTTCTGGCTTTTCTAGAACTTGATATTGCTTATCGCGTTGAACTAAAGCTTGACGACGTTCCATCTCAAACTCTTCAATTAAGCGCTTTTGGGCTGCCTCTGTACTTGCATCCATGTTGTTTAACATTTTTATGGAATTGGTCGGCGATAATTCTTTCAACACGAAGTTTTGACTCAACTCATGAGATTTGCGTCTTGGCATCGGACTGGTAGGTAAGAGTAACATATTCCATTCCGGTGTGCCTTCTTTTACCAGTGGTTCTACTTGCTTTTTACTTTCCTCAGGAAGCGCTTGTGCTGATACCAAATCTAAACAAGCTTTAGATTTCTCTCCACTAACTTTTCCATTTAGCAATTTTATTGACTTCTCAGATTCTTTTATATTGGATTTACATAAAGCATCATCGATACAAACCTGAATTTCTTGTACTTCGCTCGGCTCATTTCGCTTTATTTTGCTTTTGCGCTTTGGCATTGGACTGCTGATTACTTTTTCCATATCCCATTCCGGTGAGGACTCTTTTTTAGGTACTAGAATTTTGGAAAACTCGTAAACATTTTCAGTTTTAGGTTGAGTGGAATGCTTCGCAATATGAACAACAGTCGATTCTGAGTTTGTTGATGAGCGCTGACTGGTGCTTTCACCCTCAAACTTGTTTTCTGTTACAGGAGGGGAGGATGAAGCTTCCACTACAATATCTGGTAAGTTCATTGCGTTGAGCTCTGTCAACTCATTCAACAGTTTATTTTTCGGCTCAGGTGATAAGGGCTCTTCTAATGATTCCTCGTCATCAGTTAAACGGGGGAATTTCAGAAGTGCCTTCGATTGTTGCGTGAAGAGTTCCTCCGTCGAACACATTTTCTGAAGTAGATCTTGTACGGACGGCGGCATATTGCTGGGTGATAGATTTGTTAATTTGTTCTTTATACGTTGAGGCATTGAGACCGAAGCATCGCTGGAAGAAGATGTGCTTTTTTGTCTTCGTTGAGGTCTTATTGGAAAATTATTCTGTGCGAGGGAAGCATCTTCGAGATTTAGAGTTTTGAAGTGACTTTGGTAAATATTTTCATTGGCTTTGTCGTCTGCGAAAGTCTTAACATTTTGTTTTTCTTGCTCAGTTCTTAAAGCGGCTCTTGGGGTTATGGCAATTAATTCATCATTCGAATCAAACTCCACATTGACTAACATTTCATCGGAAAACTGACTAAATAACTTCTCAATACTATCTTCATCAGAAGAAGCTTGTTGTTGAGTAGTTTCATTTGGTTGCAATATATTAGGTTTCTTCGTTGACGACGAATTGCTGACATCCTCTTCGTCTCGATCCCCATTTGAAGCTGACGGTGTTGCATCTTTCATTTTTATGGTATTTTCCCCTAATGAAGTTCGTGATTGTATACTAGCCTGAGAACTGCGTCTAGAGTTACTCAGAGATTTATCACAGCCAGTTTTAGGTAGGTTGCGTATATCTTCGATTAAATGTCTTTTATTTTCAGTTTCCGATTTTTCAGACGCCAAAGAAGCTACAGATCCCAACGAAACGTTAGAGTCTCTACGTGCCTCACTAATGGTAACTTCTGTCTCCTTAGATTCCTTCGCATTTTGACTAACATTGGAGTCTGTCTCGTCGGCGACCACTAAACGTTTTTGATCTTGCTGAGCTTTAGCTAATTGTTTACTCATACTTATCAAAGCCAATTCCTCCAGTGAACTATAGATAATCGGTTTTCTTTCCTCCTTTGTCTTCTCCTTTTTAGCCCTCTTTAGAGGAGACTTTCGTTTTTCAGGAGATTTAGATTTTACACCAAAAAATTTCGCCAACTTTGATTCTCTATTTTGTATTGGTAAGTCATTCATAGAACTTGACGCAAAAGATTCTTTTTCTTCCTTTTCTTGGCTGCCCTGTTTCTCAGCAAAATATGACGAACGTTTTTTTTGCAAAAATGTTGTTGCTTCGCTACGCCATTCGGTTTTCAAATATTCCATTGTTTTCTCCAGATCGCTTTGTTGCAATGAATCACTAGACATTAATGATTCGCTCGATTTATTCAAATTGCTTGTAGTCGACTCCATGCGACGTAGCTTGAATGCAGCTTTCTGATCATTCGATTTATCCATACTCGACATAGATTCGAAACGTTTTAGTATATTTTGCACACCGCTCGGTCGATCGCCTCCTTCCTTTGCTTGATCGTTGCTTAATGTAGATATATTGGCTTGTAATTCTTCATTACCAAAGGATTTAGCTTTAAGCAATTTTTTGCTTTCATCTATTTGGGATTTCGTTTTTCTGGGTATACCTAAATCAATTCCCTCTGCTTCAAGAATGCATTCAATTTTATCCGATATATCTTCACTGGGCGATTTATCCTCTTTAAAGAGGTTTTGATATTCCATACTGGGCGAGCGTTGTTGTCCTCCAAGCTCATCTTTAAGTAATTCATCTAAAATTTTATCAGCTTCATCACGTGGTATCAAAGATTTCTTAATGATCTTCTGATTGCTTAATTTTTTTGCCTTAGTGCCACGCGGCACGATTTTCTTTATAATACGAACGTTCCCTTTTTTCGCTACAGTGGCTACGGCGGTTGTTGTCACCACTTTAACGGGTGATTTTTTCTTGGCAACGTCTGTCGAACCATCCAATTGATGTTCTTTTAAGCTAAACGATTTCTTTTTAGCTGCAGGTTGTTTATGAGTTTTTTGTACATTTCCATTACTAAGTGATGTTTTAGGTTTTTGCTCAGGCGCTACCTCGCAAGTTAACGTTTTTTCAGTTTGCGATTTTTTAAGTTTATCTGCTACCGTTACCACCGAGCTACGCCTTTGAGGTGCCGGACTTGTGGGAAAGTATTTGGTAAGATCGACGTCTTTCAACGTTTTCTGATTCTTGTTTACATTTACTGACGTGCTTTTTTCCTGCTTTTGATGGGGAAAATATTTAGAGAGATCTACTGAAGACGGAGCTTGCGAGCTAATTGTTGGCACTACCATTTGTGATTTGATGGTATCCATCGTATCGCTGAAGTTCTTCACATCAATTTCTTTCAATTTATTGGCGGATATGTTTTTGTCTTTCTTGGTGGCATTATACAAAATCTTGCCGGCGTCGGTTTCTTTTACTTCCGCCGATAAAGACGAAGCCGTCGTTGACTTCACGGAAGCGTCATCGCCGTTAGATATGCTAATAGTCTTTACAATATTTAAAATATTCTCAATTTCCATTTTATTATTATTTTGTATTTGTTGAGTTGGCTTCCCATTGTCCCTATCGACATGAACGACATTCTGTTCTAAATGATTCGCAATATCTTGATTATTTGTCGCTTTTTTCAAGCTATTAGATCTAGTAACTAATGTATGATTTTGTAAAACATTCTCTTTATCATCTTTCAAATGATCAACTTTGGCTTGTTCGCGTGATTCTAACTTTTCTGTTGAATTGAATTGATCTTTAACATTTTTTTGTATAGCAGGAGGTATTTTAGATAACTTACTGTCAGTAATAGCTCCTCGCGATTTTGAAGCCAAGAGTTTATCAATTTTCTCTTCAAACTTTGTCGAGTTATTGATTACGGGGACATTGTCAGTTAACCATTTTTCTTTCAAGGTCAATTTTTTAAGAATATCACTACGTATCAGATTTTCTTTCGCTAGTGTTTCCAAATCTTTGTTCAATTTCATTACGTTATTTAAACGATAAAGCTTCTCACTGATCGCTTCAATATCGCTACTAAATTTACGTTCGGAATTTTGTTCCAATTTCTCCATGTCGGCTTTTGTTACCTTTACAGCCATAGGCTTTATCGTATCATAGCCATTTACCAACGAAGATGTGGTGGATTTAAACGATTGTTCAGAAGAGCCCGACTTTTCCGATCCTTTGCGTTTTATTGCACTTTCAGGCAAACTCAGTTTAGTCTCACTTTCTTCAACATTTTTGATGTCTGCGTTATTTTGATTTTCTTCGATTACGATTTCTTTATTCAATATTTTTGGCTGTAGAAAATTCGTAATGAAAATTAATGCATGAAACCAACACCAATAGATTAATTGAATTAACTTGCAAGATGTGTATGTGCGTTGTATGTATGTATTGCCATAATATTTATTTATATTGAATTCGGTTTTAAAAATAAAGAATAAAAAATACGTATAAGCGTAAAATTAACAAAAAAAAAAGAAAAAGAAAAATCATTTGAAAAAAACTACTTTACCTCCGTCTCAGTATCTGTTGGCAAGTTTGGAGGTAAAGGTTGTAAGCGTACTTCTTCGCGTCGCAATTCACGAGCCTTCTGAAATTCTTCGCCTTCCGTATCATCTTTGCCGTCGTCTGTATATAAAGAATAATTGAATTTTAATATTGTATATATAAGATGTCATCACATCAATTGCACTTTACCTGCTATACCTTCACTGGAATCATAGAAATCATCGGAATCATCAGTTTCCGTATAATTTTGCTTCCCAATCCAATCGGAAGCTAATTGTAATGTTTGCGCCCCTAGCGGTGAATCATTGGCCTCCTCATACATTTCGGAATCGGACTCAGTATCGGTTTCGTCTGAGCTCGTTAGATCCGAACCCGAATCATTATTTGATTCTGGCAGAAAATTGCGTCCCGACCATTCATGCTCATCTATAATATGCTCTTCGGAAGGCTCCCCATCCGACATATTATCAGTATTAGCAAATTCGATACGTTCTGGTGTCTGACCGCGATCTAATAGTTCCATTTGAGTGACGCTATCTACAAGGCCGCGTTTAATCTCACTGTCTCCGGAAGCGCTAACTATTGCTTTAATAGAATCCAGAGATGTAATTGGAGAATCTTCTTGAGGCTTGGCAGCAGCTTGTTGTTGTGCATTTTTCTATTACGGAAGAGAAATTCCATATTAATGTATTTTCATTTTAGAAGGTTTACGAAAAATGAAAAATGTACCTTTTGTCCTTGCTTACGCACTACAGGGCGTATAGCCTTGGCAGGCAATCTAAAATGTTGCGTACAATAGAATCGTCCACTAGGATCATCGCGATCGAAAGCGTAAGCTCCTAGACGCAAATTTGAATGACAGTGATGACATTTAAGACAGGCACGATGCATAATCAGGCCTTCAGTATGAAGTTTCTCCATAAGATAAACAGTTTGCTTGCAGAAGTGACATTTCTCGGAGGCTGATTGCTTTTTAAAAGCCAAAGCCACCTTGGCAGTCTTGGTTTACAACAAAACGAAGCAAGAGAAGCGCACAAAAAATAAAAGAAAAATATTCAATACGAATGGGAAGACTGAATTGTTTTATGACCTGCGCCATTGGGAAGAAACGCGAAAAAAAACTTTTTCCTTTCAATCAAGATTTGCGGGCGAAGCTTTTTACGCTAAAACTGATTGTTAAGAATTAAAGAAGTAGGTCTGTCTAGATATCTTAATTTAACCAATGAGACCATTTATAAGTTTTCGTTAATTCTCAACAGTCGATCCGTTGTTACCGACAACTTAATTAAGATTCGATTCAATTCATATAACGAATGTTAGTTGCTTTGCGCTCTGCTGAGTATATCATGATGTTAATGATGTATGAAATTTTGATTGCGTTGGGTTAGTGTTACTGCAAACTGCGCTTTAGCAAAAAGTATAAGCTAACGAAAGTTTTGCTTTTGTTCTTAAAAATAAAAAAAACGTCTAAGTAATAAATTATAAAAACTAAAAAAAAATTCTACAAAATTTAAAAACTTAAAAAAAAAAAAGTAGGCAAAATATTGATTTGTTTTACGAGAAGTAGTCATGGGATTTGGTTTGTTTTTTTTCTTAAATATTTACTCACAGGTTTTGCTACTACAGTGGGAGGATTCTTTTCTTCAGAGGTATCTTCGCGTTTAACAAATTGACCGGCGATGGAGGCCACTTTATTGCGACCGCGTTCACCTACTTCCAGCACTGAGCCTTCTTTAAGTTGTTTATCCAGATTCTTTAAAGTTTGATCGATCTCTTTGAATTTCTCCTCAGCCGAATCTTGACGGTTCGGTTTAGCCATTTTATTTTGACGCGCTTGAAATTGTTCTTTACTCCATTTGGGCACTTTTTCCCGGCCTTTCGGTCCGTGAACCTCAGTCTTTTTCGATTGTTCGATTTTCTTTTCAATTTCACGTATTTGCCAATCGCTGCTATCTATTTTACCGATCGCACGCATTAAATCTTTGGGTTTCTTCTCTGGACCACAACCACTGCGTGATGTAATACGCTGTTCCATTGAACGTATACGATCACTAAACTGCTCATCGACGTTACCACGAGGCAGAGCGGACGGTATATCTCCTCGTTCACGGTCCTAATTGATGGGAGGACGTGGTTTGGGGGATTATAGGAATGGGGTGCAACCACATATAGACAAAGCCAACATCAGAGTGAGTTTGTTTTTAGGAAAAACAGGCAAAGAGATAGAAGGAAAGTTGTCAAGGTAAGCGGGTATGTGTGTACGTGTGTGTTTTCAAAAAAGTAAATACATTAGATAAAATGTGTTACCAGAGTAATTATAATAAATAAAGAAATAAATTTAAAATCAAAATATATATATATATATACATATTTTATATACATATATATATATACATATATATATAAAGAAAAACAAACATATTTTTGGATCATTAAGATAGAAAGAAAACAAAGTTGAAATAACACAAGAACAACAACAATTAAAACATATTACAATCCGTGAGAAGAGGATTAAACGTAAGTACTGGCTATGAAAAAAAAAATAATATATATATCTGAAAATCAAAATTAAATGAATATTTCAAGCAATGGTCGCAATTTCGATTTAATCTCGGTCGTTCCTTCGAGCGTTAGCTACAGTTTTTAGGCAAAAGCTTTTAGTTTTTTTAATAAAATTCGCTGAATACGTTAGGTTTAAATAGATCCACATGGTTATATCGTTAGAAAAATCAAGCATTATTGTACGTACGCGTATTGTACGTGTACGACTTCTTATATGTACATCGATAAGTAAAGCTATTTGATTGGCTGTGCCTACATATAGTCCTGAAGGCAGATTAATTTCAATACGTAAAATTTGAGATTATATCTGATCTTCTGTCGATAAATTGTCTTCAAATGATAAATCAAGTCAACTGAAACATCAGTTAGCTGGATAAAGCAGTAACAGTAACAGATCGATCAGAGGCTCATATGATCTTCTATGGCGAAATTTTGCAGATTTTATTTCTCACACACATCGTATCACATAATACTTAAAGACAACTCTAAGAGGAATACAATCAGATGCCTAGGTACCATGTGTTCACTGCTCAGTAAAAAAATTCACTAAACATAAAGTAAAACGTAACTAAAGATACATTTTTGATCTGATCGTGCGATAATGGCATATTGCGTGTAAGCAAACTGGCGTAGTTGACGTTGGCTTAATTTAAATATCGCCAAAAAATTGATTTATTCAATTTGAGGTTATCCGTGACCTCTCTAATCCTCGGACAACAATTTGACACACTTTAAAGGGATGTTTATACTGAAGAAAAAAAGATATGCAACGAAATTTCGCGAGCGAGAAGCAAAATACATTGATTAAAACACTTTATTTATTCAATTTGAGGTTATCTTCGACCTTTTTGGTAAAAATTTCTTCTTTGAAATTTGTTTTTTTTTTTCATTTTAAGTGTTGTATCTTCCGTAGAATGGTTTCTTTGACACTTCATATGTAGACGAAAAAAGCAAGTAGTTTTTGCTTAAATCCTGCTAAGAAATCATGCATAGATCAGATTATTTATTATTTTGGAAAGTGTTTTCTAATAACTACGGTTTTCTTCGGTTTTAAACAACAGCGACTAGAATAGCCACTGTTACAATTATTGATTAAAACCGATTTCACATGACTAATCAGAGGAGAAGACATATTTTGAAATTTGATCGCCATAAGTTCATTCGTGATTAAGAGAATTTTTGTAGCCAAGTCAAGGATATAAGAAAAATGATTTCAATTCCACAAACTGCTCACGAAACTTGGTCAAGCGTCTTATTTTAGTAATTAGATGAAAAGCTTGCTTCGAGACCTATCAAATAATGCAAGGAATGCATGCAAGGAATACAATGAAGTAACCATTTCGACACGCGGACATTTTCGCCGCACATAAATGTTATATAATAACAAAGCCCGTCGGGTTATATTAATGACAAAAAAAAAACAGCACATGTACACACACATACACACACACAGAGGGACAAATTTATAAAACAAAACTGATCACTGTGATGAGTAAAATATATTAGCATTTGATATTTTTTGTTTTTTGTCATGCGGTTTATCGCTTACGGGATACAATAACTTGCGTTCCAAATCTTTGACACGATCATTGAATTCAGGCGCCTGTTGGCGGTACAGAAATATGGAGTAATCTTCGAAAGGACTATTATCGTCGTGTTCACGCAGCAAAGTGTTGGCCTGCAGCATATGAAGAGATTTATAGAAATTCTGTGTTTGCTGCTGACGTTGTTGACGCCGTTTGCTTAAACGATCCTGGCGATTTTGTTCGACCTCTTGTAAACGCTTTTGCCGTTCTTCCTACATATTGGGTAAACGGATTGAGCGTTTTTATAAACGTTCATCAAACATACACATACATATGCGTGCACCCACACAAACACACACACACACACGCACACACACATACACAGAAACACGCACGCACACATAACGAAATAAGTATGTAAAGTGAGAATTAGGTTTTTTTTTTTTTTTTTTTTTTTTTTTTTTGTAATTGAAAGGATTTTTCATTTTGTTTTCTTTTTAAATATTTGAGAATATTTATAGGAGGGACATATGATTTATTAAAAATTTTGACATATACGAAGGACAATTACAAACATAAAAAAAAAAAATACCTTTCGTAATGTTGCTGTGAAATCGTTACTCAGTATGTGTGTACTCTGATGATAATGATTTATCATGAAGTGAACCTTACGAATGATGAATTTAGAGAAAGATTCGTGATTCTTGTACTTTTAATGCTTTTACGAATTCAATTTGTCTTGACTTTGAAAAGTGATCACGTTTAGAAAAAAAAAAAAAAATTCTCGTAACGGGTAGATTAACAATTCATTTATTTGCATTTTTGAAAATAGGCAAAATTTTATAATCTTGGAAATTTCAAAATTTTTACAAAAAATTTGAAAATTTCAAAAATTTCTAGAATTGTATTAAATGTAATATAAGTTTTTGTCCAATTCAAAGAAAAAATATCGATGACCATAAATGCTAAAGAACGAGAAAAAGATTACGTAACAGTTGCGATCACTTTTCAATCCGATTTTCTTCATTTTTTTTTTTTTCTTTTTTTTTTCTAGGATGTAATGCCAAACAATATATACAATAGCATCCGAAAGTATTTTTATAATTTTACTCACAATGTTTGCGGCTTTATCGGTATTGTTGCGTCGTTTCTTAGCTCTTCGTGGAGTGTCAGTTGGTGCTGAATGCGATAAAGAGAGGAGAAGAAAAACAAAAAGAGCCAATCCAGAAAAGATAAGAAGACATTTAAGAAACAAAGCATTATCAGCCTACATATAAACATCTCTGTAACAAACGCCCACCTTGACCTGTGCCTGTTGCATTACCCGCATTATTATTGGCCATTAATTGTTCATGTTTGCGTTGTCGTTTTAACTTCTCTTCATCGAGAACGGAACGTCGCTGCACAATATGCGGTACATCGACCATATCATGTAACGGCGATCGGGATTTCGGTGGCTTCGTAGAAAGTTGTAACAATTTGGAAAAGTCGGGTTGAGCATGAGCATTATTAAGGCGATATTTTTCACGTAGCTCGGTGAAATCGATTTTCGGATGCTTTATATGCGGTATTTCGCCACGGAAGACTTCGCATATTTGTTCTAAGTAATTCAACCATATCTTCGATTCAATACTTTGCAATTGCAAGGAATCTCTGCCGTTCATAATACGCTGTATATGCATTTCTTTTTCCAATATCCTAAAAGCGAGATCATTGCTTTCCACGGGACTTAAATCTTTGACTGCATTCATATCGACTAGATCAGGACGGTAACTGCAAAAGAAATGCAATTTTTAATTTTCACTTTAGCTTTAATTTGCTTTGAAAATCCAATCGATTTTTTAAGAGTTATATGATATATAAATCTATGTTCCACTGCCTAGAAAAACAACTCAGTCCCTAGCCTTATACATTTTAACGCATGCCCTCTAGTGACGCAAAGTTTAAGGGACAAAGGCACTTGACAAAGATTTCATAAAGAGGAGCACGAGGTAAAATAACTTTTAATTGGATGTAGATATGTACTATTTTTTTATTATTTTTGACGCATTTTTAGAACATGCGTACGAGATCTTTTCAAATGTGAATGGAAAATCTTTACGTTTCATATTTCTTCCTATAAGTTGAGAAGTGCTGTTGACCGACCGACCTACTTACATAACTTGCTTAATGCTTAAGGTTATTTTAAAAATCTACGGCCCTTTTGCTTGCCGCTTACCGGTTTATTAAAGCGCACAGCACTTTGCCATTCGTGAAGATATCCGAGGCTTCTTTTAATTCCTTAGCAAATTCATAACTATGTAATTGAGCGCAAACCCAACGTAACAATATTGAACTTAAAGGCACCGAATCTATAAAAATGCATTGAATCTTTATTAGAAAAACAAATTTCATCTTAAACTTTTTCTTGTCCATTTTTACCGCCACTACGCCGTTTCCTTTTGACTGGTGTATCAACCTGAGTTATTTGCAACGTATTTGTATCCATATAGGTTTGTTCCAATATCTGCTGGTCGTCGGTGTCCACGAGATGCTTTATTTGCCACACATTAACCGAAGTACGATTCAGATTTGGATAACGGGTCGCGGGATCCACAGTATAAGAACCAATATCTCGTTGTAAATTTTCTGGTGTCGTTTGATTCAGAAGCCTTCAAAAATCAATAGGAAATTCAATGCGAAAAAACAATCGCCGAAATTCATTTTTTAACTTACCGATATATACTTTCTCGCTGCGCAACCACGCCCAGTATGCTGTTAAAGGAGTTAGACCATAATTTGATAGCGTAAGCAGAATCCATGCTAGATAGGAAGCCTCGAGCACAGCCTGATCCTGTCGGCCAGAACGGTTCAAGGAGACTATCGCCCACCAGGCACTGCAGCAAACGGAATCCTTTGCGTACAATCACCCGACAAGATGATTCGGCCGCAAACATTGACGTGAAATCGAACATGGCCACGTCCGGTTTTCCATAATGATTAACGGCAAATTCTAGATTTGGCATTTGATATTTGGTAGAAAATTCAGCTGCTTCACGGGCGTAATCTAAAAGCTTCTCGGTATTTACATTGGCTGGAGCCAGCAATTCGGCTGGATCAGCAAAGTCTTGTAGTATGACGCCCTTATCAATCAGGCTGTGCTTTTTGGCAGTCATTACAAAGTAGTGCGTTTCATCCTTATAGTACACTATGTTCTCTAAGTCTATACCGGTCGTGTGGTAAAGCTCTTTAAAGAATGATTGATTAAATATGAAGGCCACACCACTAATCTCCTCAACTTTGGCTTCCGCTTCGGTTTTCTTATTAATGAAATTGGCTGTTATGGCAATAGCCAATTTACCACGAAACTCTTTCCGTTTAAAGCTTTCTAAGGTGTTCCGCTTGCCATCTGCGCCAATCAAAATATCAAACTCATAGTGCGAGACAGCGTGATCAATAGGTGAAAGAGCTGCTCGCCATCCACAACCGTCCCCAGTAGGTTCTATTGTTCGCTCAAATGAAACACCCTCGTGTATCTCAACGCCCAATAGCAGAGCTACTTTTAGTAATATGCATTGCAGTTGTCTAATCGAGATGTGATCTATTGAACCCGCACAGAATTTGCCATAAAACTTTTTTGCTCCCAAGTTACGTAAATCCGTAATCACAAAGGGCCACAAATGTAAAACGTTGTTGCGGGAAATCCGGTCACGCTTCTCTACCACAACTACTTTGGCACCCAAAAGTTGGGCTTCGATGGCAGTGCGCAAACCACACGGACCCGCCCCAATAACCAAGACTCGTGTACCCGTGCAGGCATTTCCTTTGGCGTAAACGCGCTGCGAAGCACGGGCATCGAATTTTTTCCACAAAGCTTGCGCTTTCCATGAACGTACTTTTGCTTTCACCTTCGGATAGAAATCGTTAAGGGGAGAAGGACGTAAGCCAATCAGTTCGCACATGTTGCGATGCAAACCGAGTATCTGACGCATAGTTGTAGCCACGCAAAAGAGATCGAACAGCTCGGCCGCTGCAGCAGCCGCCTCATTTTCGGCCATTTGCTGCTGCGCCAACAACTGTTGCTGCAATTGCAGCTTTTGCTGTTGGCGTTGATATGCCGATCGACTCATGCTGCAAAAAAAAAAGAAAAAGAAAGATCGCAATTAAAGGAAGAGAACATTAAAAAGAATAAAATAACAACAGTAATTGCAATAAAATCAAAGAATTCCCGTCTTCTTATGAGTTAAGACGAAAGTCATATAAGTCTGGATTGTCTTCGTAACGCCAGATTTATTCTATTTGACTCATAATAGGTACGCAATTGCAAATTGATGTCTGCAGTTTTTTTACATCGACACCTTTTGTACTCTTCCATCTGTTCTCCTCCGTTGCTTTTCGTTATCTTTGTTGCATTATATTATTCATACAGTTACGGAAGGCGACTTTCAATATCAACTAGTAGCTGGAGCAAAGTCATGTTCGAAGTATGTAGTACTTATAGCGTGCATCTATCTGTCAATTTTTCCGCAATTCTTAAGCTCCTCAAAATTAACTCAGAAAATTGAAATTGTGCACAAGCCTAGTCACAAGTACCAAGTCTGCGTTAGCGGGTTCAAATCTCAATACGTTAGAGTTGACTTTGGCCGTAGTTGCAGTGAGTGAGTGCTCTCAGTCAATAAATGCTTAGCGCGCAACCACTAATCTACGGTCGCTTTCCTACCCCCTTCTTCCTCTTTCGTCACTTTTATTCAAACACTCACGCGTTTTTCACATATTTACCCCGAACTATTTTTTTAGGCAAATCTGATGACTTACTTGTTCACCGCGCACTGCTGTTACTGTGTAACTAGAAGCCGATTCTACGATTTACTGCGACTGTAGCTACCTGTTACCACTCGAGCAGTAGTAATGAATTGCTCCTTGGTTAATGCATGTGCGAGTTTTTATACGTGTTTTGACAAAATTTTTCTTTGTTTCCCCCAACAATGATCTGCTGCACTTGTTTTTCGTGTACTGATGGTGATGCATACATCCACAGTTTTTTTTCACAAAGGCCTACAAACCATTTGTTGCCGATTAACGATTTTTCATAAAAAAATACAATGGAACGATTTTCGACAAGTGATCAGTCATTTTTTACATTATTTTGTTACTAACGGTCTTTTTCTGCACGGTCCTTTTTTTTAGCTACATGAAATCCGCACATAAGGTAAACAACATTTATAGATATGTCCTAAATTCATTAGGTGTACAAATAAATTCCTCCCGCTGTAATTGGTTGTTTCATGAAAATTATTTGTCGCGTTCAATTTTCTCGCAATTTCAGGTGTACACAAGTTAGGTAATGATGTTTGATCACGGTAAGTTGGGGTTGCTTACAAACTGTGTTCAGTGCGTATGAAAAAAAGTTTAAAGAGATGGACATCGTTTATGGAGCCGCAATTTTTCTGCCTTTTTAACTTTTTAAATGCAGCTAAAGGTATGAAAATGGTTTCGGGCAAGAAATTTTTATATTGAAAACGATGAAATTTGCGTACGGCCGTACGTCTCCAGTATAAGCAAAACTAGAAAGTGATTTTCAACTTAAGCTTGGAAATTTTACCGTACCACGCGGCATTTTCCCCCCGATTACCTCTTACTCATGCCGACACAATCATGCTGACCAGGTAAACGGTTCGCAGAAGATGAAGAGATGTGCGAAATGTGTGCGAAAACCTGTAGGTTACTACCGCGGGGGTGTCGATAAGCCATCCGTTAAATAGCTTAAAACCATAGCTAAAGATGATGCATATTTCGATTATCAAACACCGCAGGAATTTATTTATACGTTATTTAATCCGACTTTGCAGGGAAGAAATCTTTCTCTGTTCGTCCGTTTGCGTTCGATTTACTTTAAGTAAGGAAGGAAAGTGCTTTAAGATATAATTCTTGCGTAAATTTTGTACAAGTGGTTGTTTCGTTCGAATTTTTATTTAACTTGTGTCTAGACTTTAGAAACATTGCTTTTGCTTCCAGTAGCTTTTACACCTATCACCAAAGGGGTGGGATATGTTTATTTCGTCAAAACAGTTACAACGTTCAGAAGGAAGCGTCAGAGACTCCACAAAGTATATATATTCTTGATCAGCATACAATTCTAAATCGAAGTAAGCATGTCCGTCTGTCCGTTTGTGAACATTCTCCTCGTCGTAAAAATAAAACTATCGATTTGAAATTTGGCAGAAATGTTGGAAGTTCTTGCACGCAGGCCGATATTCAAAGCGGGTCAAATATTTGAAAGGACACGTTTCCAGTACTACGTAAACCGAGAATACACGTCTTTTTCAAAAGAATTAGAAAAATTGATGTTTTGCTTATAATGTGCAAACATTTGAATAAATATTGTATGGGCGATGCAGTTGTAGCATCAGTGCAAAAATGGGAGAAATTGGCTACACCTACCCGACATTAAAGTGGATTTCATTTCGTTGACATTCGTTCAATACGCAGAAACAGGCTTCAAAAACCCCATAAAGTATATAAATTCTTGGCCAGTTTCAATTTTGGATTGATCCTAAACATGTCCGTCGCCGAAACGAATGTTAGGTATTGAAAATTTTGTGTAATTATGTATCGATTAACTTTTGTCATCATTTTCCGAAGAATCAATGACTAGTGTTATAACAACTGGCTTTCACACAATTCCCGTTGAGTTTCTGAGAAAGAAATTCTGCCCTTACATTCTCATAAAATGCTGGGAACTATTCTCAGCTTTAATATGTACCTAGTTTCTCAAATCCCGTTAATTGCTTATGCAATTCTCTGAAGTCCTCTTACATTGTAATGAAGAATATTGTTCAATATTTATAAGTTTGCTGTATAAAATGCCATTAGAGCTTTACATTGTGATAAAACGGTTAAGAAAACACGCGGTTTGGCGCGGAAAGCGGTTTAGAAACCGCTTGAACAACTATAAAAAGGATTAGCAGAGAGCTTCACCTATTTACAAACTGGTTTGTTTCCTGTGAGAACTATTTTATGTTTCCAAGAGAATTAAATTGAAAATGGGACAGAATTTGTGACTTTTCAATTGTTTTTTTTTGCATATGTATAATTGAACTAAAAAAATACACAAACAGATCACAGGCCATATTTTTGCCCATCTATGGCGAATAGCTTCGTGTATGTATATAAATATCATTTTATCAAAAGTAAATTGATTTCGAATTGAATATCTTTACTAATTTAATTTCATTTAATAATATAATGATAATTGGTTTTTGGAAGCACTGATCGTTTCACGGATTAATTTTCGCAATCTTACATGTATGTTTTTCAATAGTTATTTCTCTCCGCTTTGCCAGCCAATCGGATTTTGCAAATAATAAAATTAAACCGCAATTAAAGATTGATTGCAACACTAATCATAATAGTTATATCAATAGTTGACAATGTAATTGTTTTTTTAGATAAAATATCATCTCAAATATTTTTTTGCATCCTACCGTTATTAAATATCATTAGAATTTTATGAAATATTCTATGTTACATAATATATAATATTAATTTATAATGATAGCGATGATATTTATTCATTAATTACTTTATACCCTAATGGACTTTGTTAGCGAAATGTTAGTGGAATTGATTGTCTCACATTTTTACTTTGTTGCGACTCTTATACCTTTCACCGAGCGAGGGATGTATTAATTTTGTCAGAACTTTTGAAACATCCAGAAGAATGCTTCAGGCACCCCATAATGCATACATAAATTCTTGATCTAGGCATGTAATAATTAAAAAAATATAAACAAATTAAATGTCCGTTCGTCTGCCAGTCCATCTGTCTGTCTGTCTGCGTAATGTCTGGGGTAAACATTCTCCTGATCGCAAAAAATGTACTTTTCGACTTCAAATCCGCAAAAAATCCGACAAATCGTTCGAAGGACACGACCGCAGTAAAGCGTTAACTCGACATACCTCTGTTTCCCCAAGCAAATTTTTTTTTGGTTTTTCTTTATTACTCATAAATTATGAAAGACATAAAGCTGCAAATTTTCCATATTTTTGCAAAATCGACCACACCCATGCTTTTTAAGTTTTCGTCTTATTGCTCATGAAATACATGAAAATGTCTAAAAATGTGTTTATATCAAAATAAATATAGTGGACTCCACGTCGTTATATAATGGACAAGAGTGACGGGAACAAAAGATTCGTTCTCGGCCAGATATAATTTTCCTATTTGTTGTATTTCATAATTTTCAACTTAAAAAAAAAAACTACGCATTTTTCATTGCTGTTGTAATAGCAAGTGCTAGTCATTTTAAGTTAATAAATTTCAGTTAAACGTTTTTTAATTTATGGTTCATTTTCGTTATACGTAAAAACAAATTAAAATGTTAGAATAGGCCGTCAACATCATATACTTCAGAACAATTTTTTCAATGTACGACATTAAATAGGCGAAGAGGTGGTCGTCAAATGTTTCGACCCCAAACCATTTTCAGGATCGACAAAAGACAAATAGATGCGTGGAGAAGTGTTATTGTGTTCCATCCATAGTTTTGAAGCGATTGATATAACAGTGAAAGGTATATTTTTTTCACACTCAACCAGTTGCGGATGTTGCATAAATTCGCACAAACTTTGCATATTCTATGCTGCAAGTGGTGTGAGATGGTTGCTGATTGGGCAAATCCGATCTATGGAATAATTAGGCAAACTACTTGCAAACCATCTCAAAAGAACTATTCATTAACTGAGATCATGTCAACAAGTCGATTAGGATGATTTTCATCCTTAATACACACGGCGGTATTAAAGACAAATTTCGGATTGATATGTGACTTAAAAAGCCCACATTGGGTCATGTAAATAAACTAAAAGGCCTGCCATTACATCTCTCATTCTTCTGGCCTATTACGATTATAAGTCAAACTTTCTCATATTTATTCTAAATAGAACGAATTGATTGAACAATATAAGTAACCACTTTCCAAATTTCTAATTGAGTTCTTGAGGTTTTCAAAGCTCGATTAAAACGCATAAACTCGAAAATACCGAATTAAGAGCAGATCCATTTATACTAAATCGAAACTTGGCTTTATAGTTCTAAACCTTCAAAATGGAATAAATTAGTTCTTAAGAGG